TTTGGCATTGCTTTTGTCGAGGGACATAGAATTGACTGTTAAGTCGTATTCAACTAACCATGTTAATGTAGAGATTTTTGCTAGAAATTGTAGATGAAAGATTACTAGTTTTTAGGGTAGCCTATGTGCTAAAGGCAAATTGTTGAGTTGGAATCTTCTTTGTTCACAATCAAAGCTCCTTTGGCCTTGCATGAGAGATTTTAATGAGGTTTTTTTTATGCAAATGAGCAAGATGGTTATATTAGGTGGAATGAAACACGCATGAGAGATTTTCGTGAGACCTGTATTGATTGTGGTTTGAAAGATTTGGGGTTTATAGGCCTTAAATATACATGGTGGAATAACAGGGATGATGATGCTTTCATACGATGTAGGCTTGATAGGGTATTGCATACATTTAAATGGCGTGATATGTTTCCAAGAGCAATAGTGTTTAATGAGTTAATGGGAGGTTCGGATCACATCTTGCAACATCTTGAATTATATCATTACCAAAGTGTTAAATGGAAGAGGAGATTTCATTTTGAATGGGTATGGCTTGAAGACAAGAGATGTGAATAGATTATTGATAAGAAGATGGATGATCAAAATGGCAGTTCTATCAACTTCATTTACGAGTTAGGTTCGGTTCAAGACAAGTTAAAGGCTACAAGATTGAATCCATTTAGAGCTCTTTAATTGAATATTATAAGAAAAAGGGATAAGTTGCAGATGGCCAATGAACGTGATACTTATTATAGTATGGTGAAAAATATTCAAAGTGACTTACATAAATTGTTGGAAAAAGAAGAGTAGATATGGAAACAACGTTCAAGAGTAGAATGGTTGAAAGTAGGGGATAAAAACACCAAGTTTTCTCATGCACGAGCAAAGGAATGAAGGAGGAAAAATACAATTTAGACACTTAAAATAAGTAATGGAGAGTGGACAGAATTGTAGGATGATTTGTTGAATGAAGTTAATGCTTTCTTCTTTAAGTTATTTACCTCTTCAAGGTCAACAATAATTTGGGAGGTTTTTAAGTCACACAAACATGAATTATAGATAAGACAAATAATGGGCCATGTGACACAATTTCTAGTGATGAGGCTAAGATGGCTCTTTTTCAAATGCACGCTACAATAGCCTTGGGATTTGATGGGTTGCTTGTTGCTTTCTTTCAGAAGTGCTGGCATAGATTAGGTAAGAGTATTCACCAGTTTGTTGTTGATTAATTGGCTGGTAATGTTGATTTCCTAGATATTAATAATACTTTTGTTATGCTTATTGCAAAGATTGAAAGGCCAGAACAAGTAAGTCAATATAGACGTATAAGTTATGTAATGTTCTTTATAAGATTATGTCAAAAATGTTGACAAATAAACTAAAAGTTATTTTTCCTGATGTTATTTTTGAAACCAAAGTGCTTTTGTTCTAGGTAGACTGATATTTGACAATGTCATCATCACCTATGAAGTACTTCACTATCTGTATAATAAAAGGTAGGGAGTTAGTGGTAATTTCACAATTAAATTAGACATGAGTAAGGCCTATGATAGAGTTGAATGGGTGTTTGTGTAGGCTTAGGCTATTCGAGTGAAAATGGGTTTTTGTGCCAGATTTGTGAATATGGTGATGAGGTGTTTAACATCAGTAACGTATTTTGTACTTGTAAATAGAAGTCTTGGTAGGAAGATTATTCCCACCAAAGGAATTTGTCAAGGTGATTCTCTTTCATTATACTTGTAATTATTTTTGAGGTTTTGTCTAGTTTGCTGAACATGGCTAACGAACACAAAAGAATTTCGAGGATATTAGTGTGTAGAGGAAGACCAAATACTTCTCATTTACTATTTGCAGATGATAGCATGTTGTTCAGAAAGGCGAAAATGTCAAAGGCACAAGCTTTGAAAGATATATTGGTGCAGTATGAGCAAGCATTAGGGCAAAAAATTAACTGTGAGAAATCTTCTATTCTCTTTAGTAGAAACATTATGGCTGAAGATAAAGAAGGGGTGTGTAGAATATTAAAAATCAGGGACGAATAATAGAGGGGATCATATCTTGAAATGCCTTTGATAACTGGGGAATCCAATAAGCAATTATTTAAAAACCTGAAGGAGAGAGTAACGAAGAGAATCCTAAATTGGAAAAATAAATTTTTATCCAAAGCAAGTAAAAAAATTCTCATAAAGATAATGGCTCAAGCAGTACCTAATTATGTGATGAGTTGCTTTAAACTCCCAAAGTCAATTTGTAGTGAGATTGACGTGGTTATAGCATGGTTTTGGTAAGGAGGCAATGACTTGGTAAGTAAGATTCATTGGAAGAACTAAAGATCAATGTGTGTGTCCAAATTTGATAGGGGGTAAGGACTTTAGGGATACTAAATGTTTCAATCTTGTTAAATATAACCTTTCATTTGATTCTAAGTTTTGATTTAACAAATAAGTGATCAAAATTGTTGTTCAAATGTTCAAACAAGTCTAAATGGTCTTTAAAAAAGGTTTAATGAAAAAGCTAAGTGCTTTAAATGGAAAAAAAGCAAAAAATCTCTTCAAATTTAAAAACTGCTTTCAATCTATTGATAGTTGGCTATTTTAGCACCTAGACATCAAAGACTATGAACATCTATCGCTAGATATGCAATATGTATTGATAGATAGTCAATCATGCACAACATAAGAAGACCATGGCTTGAATCTATTGATGGATACACGATATTTATTGATAGACAACCACTC